TCCAACTTATTCTTCCGAGACAAAAATATATTTATTGCCTATTTAATAGAAAGATGAAATGACATTGTCTGCATGATGGAGTGCTTATAGGTGACGAAATATTTTCATCTTCCATAACTTATCCTTCCCAGACAAAAATATATTTGTCGCCTAATAAATGGAAATATGCAACGACATCGTTTAATAGGTATGGAATTTATTGGCGACGAATTAAGTTCGTCACAAAAAAAATTGTATTTTGTGACAAAAATGTTCGTCTCCAATGAGCTAAAATAATTCACGCCAATGCAAATGAAATTGGCGCCTCATTTTTGCAGACGAAATTTTGTTTTCGTCTCCTATACTTTTGAGAAAAATTAAAACAAATGACAATTAATATTTCGTCATCTTTGGGTTAAATTTTAAGACAAAAAAAATTTCGTCACTAAATTTTGTCACAATAGCCTAGATTTCTTGTAGTGACTCTAGTGTTGATCTTAATTGTATCTGAGAAGGTCTTGTACCTTTCAAATATTTTGATAAAACTGATCAATCTCTCAGTACTGCTAATGGTGGCTCAATGGAAATTAATTATAAAATATCTCATGCACAAGTTTGCAACCAAGGTATATGTCTTAATACTGAATTTTTATTAGTTAAAAATATGTCTCAATTAATTATCTTTGGAACTCCTTTTCTAACCATAATTGCACCTTTTGCTATCACAAATGAAGGTATTTCGACTTCCCTTATTAATCATGACATAGTTTTCAAATTCCTATTTCCTCCACAGGAACATGAAATCAATACGCTCAGAACAAATCTTATTTATAAACAAACAAATTTGTATACTCCAAAAAGAAATTTCTTACAAAGTTGTTGACTAGGAATTACAACAACCTCATGTTCAATCTATTATTCAAAAAAACCAATCTTTATTTGAGAACGATTTATGTTCTGAACTACCTCATGCCTTCTGGCACCGTAAACAACATATGGTTGATCTGCCATATGAAAAAGATTTCAATGACTGACAATCACAATTGCAAGCCGCCTCATAAAGATAAACAAAGGACGGTTCCATTACATGCATGCTAGAAGACAATTCAAAAGAAACAAACGATCAATAATGCTCTCCCCACCGACAAAACAAAATGCTCTCTCCATCGACAAAGCAAAGGCAATCAAACAAAATAAAAAAAACAAAAAGCAGATTCCTTCAGATTTCAATTCATTTCAATTCTGGACTCCATCTATATAAAGCTAGCCACACTTCAGAGGAGGGCAGGCTTTCCTGGATATCAAAAGCTTATTGTAATATAGTGTGGGAAATTGTGAGAAAATTTGAGTGTGTTTAGTTTGAGTATGTTTCGAGTGTATCAAAAGTGTGACTGTATTTAGTGGATGTTATGTCCAATCTGCTATCAGGATTTTGAGTTATTGTAAGTTTTCTTTATTCTGATTTTGTATTTTAATATAAGTATTGTTTGTTTTGTTATGCTTTTAATTTCTAATCTGCGTCAAGAAATTAACAATAGTATTCAATATATTTCTGATTTAGAAGAAGAATTAACTAATTTAATATTATTATTATCTCTTGCATCTGGTCAATCAATTATTAACTATTATCAAAGAATTACCACAATTAAAAGAAAAATAAAAGATGAACATGCTTGTTTGAAACATCTCCAAAAATAATTACAGTTTGTAATCTGTGTGTAAACTGCATCACTCACTTAGTTTGTAATCTTTGGATTTATAGGAGTCCACCTATTTGGTATCAAAGCCAAGTTAGTTTTTAGATTGATTTGGTATTAAAAAAAAAGTAAAATTAAGATTGGTTTTATTTCTTACCTTACCAACTGACATAGCACTCAAGTCACAAAAGTCTGTACGCTGTTAGGTCTTTAAGCAGGAAGCCATCGTTGACCGTTAGAGCTTAGGCAGAACCACCTATTGACAGCTACAGTTATAATGGCAAGAATATTAAAATCATTCTCTAATCTGATTTCTGGTGAAGGTTTCTTAGCAAAACCAGTTATTATTAACCAAAATGATTAGAAATAGAAAAGATTGAAGAACGTCTGCAAAATTGAAAATTACCTACCAAAAATATTAAATGTCTTTATGATGAAAAAAATTTGCAAAAAATTGTCGGATGTCCCCATTCCCTAGGAGAAATTATTTTGAGTATGGGGAGTTTGGAGTATTGGAGAAAGTTTTTGTCGTCTCTGGAATAAACATGTTCCACGATGATAGAACGGGTTTCTTCAAGAATTTTTTCATAGCAAATTCTAGAGTGTTGGCCAGAATGTTGAGGATAATACCAGTTGTTTGGAAAATAATGAGATATGATGGTTTCTGACTTAGTGTCTGGGTTTTTGAGGAAAAATGTGGAATGGTCAACAGTAATGGGGGTAATGGGATAAGTAACATCATGTGTATAATTGCCATGATCAGTTAATGTATGGGATAAATTGAGTCCTCCTTTGGAGGAAGTAGCTTGTGAGGGGTTATTTAGTCTATAAGCCATCCAATAAAAATATGTTTGAACTCGAATTCTTTGTTTGTGATAATGATTGAAAAAGTGGTGATATTTAAATTGCTTTTGATGGGGGCTGAACCCTTGATTGGGCAGTGTCTGGAGATTCCTGTAAAAATTCACGAGTAAGAAAATCAGGCAAGGAATTTGATTCACCTCGTACATATTCAATTCTGAAATAAAAAACACATAAAATTGCTTGCCAACAAGTAAATGCTTGTTTAGAAACAATATTCTTGACATCCTTTCTAAAACCTTTTTGGCAATTTTCAATTGATACGTAATAAAAATTTTTAATTTAATAAATTATATTCAAATTTCTTAATACAGGAAACAATAAACAATATTCCTTTTGAATAGTAGAATACTGTGTTTGTGGTCCTTTTCATATTGCGGAGGTCAAACGAACTAATTGTTCTTTACCTTTATATAATTGTTTGAGGATGCCACCATAACCGATATTACTAGCATCGGTCTCCACAATTTTGTAAGCAGTAGGAATTGGCAAACATAACAAGCGTAAAAATTTTGCTCTTTGTTTAATCCTTTTGGATTGCCACAGTATGTTCATGGGTCCATGGAGAAGGATTTTTTCAGAGACGAATATATAAGATTTTAGTATCTTTGTGGAGATCTTTATAAAATTCAGAAATATAATTTAAGCTTCCAAGAAACCTTTGTAGTTGGGTTTTGTCACGGATTTCATCTGGGAATTTGTTAGCAAATTCAATAGACCTTTGAATGGAGATGATAGTGCCTTTGTGAATAATGTGGCCAAGAAATCGTATGGATGTTTGGAATAATTGCATTTTTTGACACTAAGGACTAAGCCATTATTTTTAATAATATTATAAAATTTGTAAAGATGCTTGCTGTGTTGAGACATAGAATTAGAATAGATTAATATATCATCAATATATACAAGTGTAAAAGCAGTATAAGGATTGAAAATATCATTCATAATATTTTGGAATTCGGGAGGGGCATTTTTTAGACTAAAAGGCATTACATTAATGGCCAAATGGTACTATGAAAGCAGTCTTGTAATAGTCTTTTTCGAAGATTTGAACTTGCCAAAAGCTAGATTTCATATCAAATTTCAAAAATATTTTTGCTTCATAAAGACAGTTCAATAAATCTTTTTTATTGGGAATTGGGTATCGAATCTACTGTAAAACCTTATTGAGTGGTTTATAGTTAATTACTAACCTAGGTGTTCCCCATTCTAATTAAACCTTTTTATTGACATAAAAAGTAGGGCAAGACCATGGAGACTTACTCAGTCAAATTAATTTTTTATTAAGAAGATCATTGATTTCTTATTTGCAATGTTCCATTAATCATCATCAAGATTTGGGTAGAAGTTTTTGGAGATGATTTGGTGGAAGTAATGGGGAAAGATATTTTTGGTAATAACACTAAAGGTTGTTTCGATTTTGTGAGAATTTGAGGGAGAGATTCTAATACAAGATCATCATTCGAGTCGGAAAGAGACTCTGCATTGGTCATAGGAATCATTTTCATTTTGATGGTCTTTTTTGTATTTGTGTTCAAATTTGGATCTAGAAATTGAGGGATATTTTTCCTTTAATTTTTCAACGCTGCTACAGATCCCCAGTGACGTGGCAGGCCTCCATTGGCCAGTTTTCTGTTTTTTTTTTCTTTTCTTCCAATCCTACTGTGCCACGTGGCACTGGGGGTCGATGGGGGTGGGGTTTACTGGGGGTCCGGCGCATTTTTGTTAATTTTTGCTTTAATTCTGCCTTAAAGAAATTATAATTAAAAGGCTTATTTGATTTTGGACTGGAAGTCCGTCTTAATAATCTGAACCGTTCACATTTTAGTGTATATCGAGTAGAATATATTTGTAAAAAATCAATTTAATCGGATATCATTAATCCTTTCACCCGCGCACATTTATATTCATTTTAATATTTTAAATCATAATATCATTTATTTTTGTAAATATAAATATAAATAGATTAAAAAATGAATGATATCCAATGAAATTAATTTTTTATAAATATATACTAGTCAATAGATTTTAAAATATAAACGATTTAAATTATTAAAATATATTTTAAAATAAAGCCCAACATCCGCTCCAAATTGGTTAAAAAGTTGCATTTTGTCAGCATTAGTATCATTTGCCAAAAACCGAACCAAAAAAAATCCCAGAGAATAACGGATAAGAAGCCAACCAAACAAACATGACTCTTCTTTTTTATACGAAAAAGACACCGCCAATGAGGCTGGCGCCACACGTCATTAACAGGATGCAACGCGAACCCGTTTTAATTATTTCCTGCATAAAAAATGTTACAAACTCCAAAAATTTTATCAAATGTCTCACATTAAATATAAAACCTACATGAAACCCACGTAATGTTGTGAGTCCCACTTTTAATAAAATTTTTGATAAAATATTTAAAATCTCTACTCTTCTTGCACTCGAACCCCCTCCCTCAAATCCTCGTCAACATCACCACCACCAACTTTTTCCAGCTCTCTCTCTCTCTCTCCAGCTTTTGTCGCTTCTCCAATCCTATTTTCTCAATCAACAGCTAGACATATAATAATAATAAGACCAATCCAATCCAATCATTTGTTTCGTATCATTTATCCAGAATCAGAGTCCAACGACAACAATCAATTAAATTCGAGTCTCAGAAGGAGAAGACGAAGACGAAGACGAGGAGAAAATGAGTAACAGAGATGAGAGTGGGGAGGATGGGCTGAAGAAGCCATTGTTGCACACGGGAAGCTGGTACAGGATGAGCTCGAGGCAGTCCAGCATGCTCAGCTCCTCCGCCCAGATCATCCGCGACGGATCTGTCTCCGTCCTCCTCTGCGTCCTCATCGTCGCCTTAGGCCCCATCCAATTTGGCTTCACCGTAAAATTCCTCACCCTCTCCATTTCTCTCCCTCATTCTTTCTTTTTTTATCTCTGTTTTTTATTTATGTATATGAATTCATACATGTATGTACATGTCATGTTAATTGCAGTGTGGATACTCTTCCCCTACCCAATCCGAAATTATCAGCGATCTCGGACTTTCCATCTCAGAGGTTTGACCCCCTTTTTATTTTTTTATTTATATTTTTTTTGGTGCGTTGTGTTGTGGTATTAATATTATATTGGCAAATCACATGTGTGTGTATATGTCGTGTATGTGGGCAGTTCTCTGTATTTGGTTCTTTATCGAATGTGGGTGCCATGGTGGGTGCGATAGCCAGTGGGCAGATTTCCGAATACGTTGGCCGGAAAGGGGTAATGCTGATTACTGATTACATGCCAATTTCTTGTGATTTTGTTATGTTTTATGCAGAAAATTGCTATTTAAAATGAACCTCTAAATGGTGCTTGTTTCGTTTCATTTCATTGCATTGCAGTCACTAATGATTGCCTCAATTCCTAATATAATCGGGTGGCTCACGATTTCATTTGCCAAAGTGAGTAATAACTTGTGATTTTCACATTTTGATGTACCCAGTATCGTTTACAAGTGTGGCTGCTTTTGGTCTACAGGATTCCTCATTTCTATACATGGGAAGGTTGTTGGAAGGATTTGGAGTGGGCATAATTTCTTACGTGGTAACTAACATATAAACACCTTGTTTTGGTCAATTGTCTTGTTGGGAATTGTTATGAAAACATCAATCATAGTGCTTTTGTTGGTTGTCCTCAGGTGCCTGTATATATAGCCGAGATAGCACCTCAAAACAAAAGAGGTAGCCTTGGATCAGTGAACCAGGTTAGTTTTATTTATTGTTTATAATTTTGCAATCTATTTCAATCCAGAGTGTTATGGTCTATATCAGTCTTTAATAACGTAAAGCAACTTGCTGATACCAATTTTTTTACCCCTTTGTAGCTTGCTGTTACAATTGGAATAATGCTGTCATATTTGTTGGGACTTTTTCTTAGTTGGAGAGTCCTTGCTGTTGTAGGTGAGCCATTACCACATAACTCTGTTTTACCTTAAGTCAGCATAAAGGAATTAGTTGATATGATATTAATACAACATAATTTGTAAACTATTCATTGAGTAGATGATTGAATGTTATAAGAAATGTTGCTGTGTTTTTCTTCAACATGCTTCAATGGATAATGGGAAGATGGTGGTGTGAGTGGATATGCCTTTTTGGTTAACTGCAATAGCATTGTGTTTGAACGGTAGAGTTGACCTACTTAATATTTAGCTTCCATCCTTTTTACTTTTCTTTGTCTTCCCCCTCCCTCAATATGATCCATTATTGAAATACTCCTGAGATAATTAAATTTGCTTCATGTTTTCCTTCTTTTTTTTTTTTTTTTTTTTTATTGGGGTTTGTTATTAACTAGAGGGAATGCACACAAAAGTGGAATGTTATAGGAAGTTTCTCTAAAATGTGAAATGTATAATTCTCTCCCACTTCTCTTAATTTGCAATAATAGGAGTCGTGCATGAGTAAAAGGGTATTGTAAAACCCCCTTAAAAAAGTAACAATCCAAGACAATTTACTCAAAAAAAATTTACCATTGAGTTTTTTTGAAAAAATAAAAAATTTCACAGGGCTTTAAAACAAGAGTTTAGGTATATGAGTCCAGCCCTCCACGTATATCAACACCACATTAGACTTTGGCTTGCCAATAGTCCCACTGAGTAAGGCCCTCAGCCCCAAAGAATCAAGACACATCATTTGTGCTACCTAGGCTGGGAGCAGGACCTAGTTGCCTCGCTCAAGACCACTTGAAGACTTGTGGATTGAATGCTAGTAGTTCAAGAGTTCGTCTGGGCTCTTGAGGTGAGTGGCGCTTGGACTAGTCTCAAAGAGAAGGGCCTTGACCAAGACAAGTGGTACTTCGATGGCCGTATTATACCTAACTTTTAGTCGCTTTGACATGCCAGGAATTAGATGTATCATACCTATCCTCTATCCACATATGATACATCCCCCAGCACCATAGATTGTAGAGTTGACTCAGGTTCCTTCATTTTGTGTAGCCAAGGCAGTAGAGTGACACCTGTCCTCAGTTTAGCTAGCTCAACTTGATTCATCATCCTGTATATAGGGGGTTTACCATACATGCAGAACACAACACATCTGCATTTCCTTGCTCCTCCAACATATCTACTACCACCCTCTTTCTCTACTAAGACTGCCCTTGGCTCTCTCCTCTCCCATTTTTGGTGGTCTTCAGCCATCTCAGTGCCTGTCAACTTTTCAGAGGACACTTCTCAGTTCAGCCAACTCACTCCCTCACTATGCACAAGGAAAGCACAAGTTCTCCCTTAATATAGGTAATCAGCTTAGCAAGTGAAAAATGGTCTTTTACTCAAGTGATTCATTCTTATGATTCTTGGCCTTCTGTTGAGGTTTTTAAACGGTTTGTTGTTTTAATCCATGCATTAATTTCACCTCAGTCTTGATCGCATTGGTCATCTTGCAAACTTGCAAATGATTTAAGTCCACTTGTGCTATGACCGGAATTGATATTCTTCCGTCTTTACCTGATTTCTTTGTGGCTTCTGCAATGCCTTGCAGTTTTGATTTGTAATCCTGAGTTTTGATGATATAGAAACACTTCTACTAAAGGGTATTTTGGGCCTTAACTATTGTTGATTGTCTTTTGACGTAATTTATTTCATGTCTCGGTATCTGGCCCCATTTCAAAAGAGCAGAACATGTTGAATTAAATTGACATAGTATCTGAAACACATAAATTTTTACACTTTATTTGCAGGAGTTTTGCCTTGTACCATTTTGATACCTGGTCTGTTTTTCATACCAGAGTCTCCTCGTTGGTTGGTAAATTCTTGAACTTAAAATCATCTTAATCTAGTTTAGTTGGATTCTTAATTATGCTGATTTGTTTTCTGTCTTTTGTAATGAACTCTAGGCTAAAATGGGATTGACAGAAGATTTTGAGACCTCTTTGCAAGTCTTACGGGGATTTGACACAGACATTTCTACAGAAGTGAATGAGATCAAGGTACTGAATTGAACTACTACATTTTGTTTATTGCAATTCAACCATATTTGTCATAGTTGTCATCAACTGATTCATTAGCCAAATTCTGAGCATTCACTCTGCAGATTATTTACTCTTTGTTGTTTCTCTGGACTGTTTTATATTTTTGCCATCATTTCTTATCAATGTGCTTTGTACAGAGATCTGTGGCATCACCAAGAAAAAGAGCTACCATTCGATTTTCTGATCTTAAGCGGAAGCGTTATTGGTATCCTTTGATGGTACAATGAATTACTGGTTTTGTCTGTGCAATATTAACATCTATATGAATATCTGAGCTAATTTTATTTATTTATTTTCTTTCTTGTTCTTCGATAATATTTATGCTGCAGGTAGGAATTGGATTACTTGTCCTGCAGCAACTCAGCGGTATCAATGGTGTTCTGTTCTATTCCAGTAACATCTTTGCATCTGCTGGTTAGTTGAGCACTCTTCACTTTGAATTATCATATTAGAATTCACTGGGGTTTTAGATACCGATAGTTGGATTTCTTATTTTTTTTAAGGGCAAATTATTGGTAGTCCCTATATTTTGATTCTTGTGTCATTTTGGTCCCTGTAATTTCAATTGACTCAATTTTGATCCTGAATTTATGACTCTCTCAATTTAGTCCAATTGAGCATATAACCCCCTTATATTTGCCATGTGTTTCACAATTACTGTTAAGTTAGACGGAATGTTTAATGGTACTCTTCAAACCACAAACTATGTGGGGATTATTTGGTCATTTCCAAACGTTAAGGGGTAAACCGTACATGGTTCAAATCATATGGGGTAAAATGAAGTTTGCCTAAAAGTATATTGTAACTTGTAAGTATTTATGATTAGCATTAAAATTATAGAAATAAATAATGAATGGTTGGCTCTTTTAATACATAACTACATTTTTTATGAATTTTTTCAATATTTTAACTATATTTATTATACCTTAACTAGTAGTGTCCTTCGGGTACTTGTTAGCCAGACCTTTTATTAGATTAAACAGTCATTTATTTTAATAATAATATTGACATATCATTCTTATAATTATATAGTTTTTTGTATCGATTTTATGTATAAATAAATCTTTTTTTTATTGCTAAACTCTCTCTCCGTCTCCCTCTATAAATAGAGGCTATTGCTAGTATTTTTTAATTAAAAATACGCATATAAATTGCATGTGTAATGATTTTAAGGGAAAAAATTATAAGTTTGCTCAACTCAGTGAGTTAATTTCAATCAATTTTCATCAAAAATACTAACAGTATTATCAATTGGATCAAATTGACACAAAAACTAAAATTAAGGGCCAAAATTGAGCTAATTGAAAGTGTAGGGACCAAAATGACACAAGAGGCAAAATGTAGAGACTACCGATGTAATTTGCCCTTTTCTTTTTTTTCTTTAAACATTTTTAAATTCCTATGTTAACTCACTTGCACCCCCTGTTGCACATAATATTATGTACTTGTCAAAACAATAGATGGATATGGGTACCTATATTGAGTCAGACATTCTTTTTAATGTGTTCATCAAGTTGGTCCTACAAATCAAGAGTGAAACAGAGTCATTGCACCATAGACGTTCCATATTATGACTTCTTATAAGTGCTTGTAGGCTAAATGTTTGTAAATTGGTCGGGTCGGGTGGTTATGACTCTTGGGAGGCTCGCACTAGCCAAAGCCTTGAGACTATAAAGACTACAAATCAAAAGGCCACTTAACAACTAGCTCACATCATGTAACCAAATTTCGAGAGTTCAGGAGCTAATGGATCCCTCTAATTTCCATTAACACAAAAATCTGATGTTTCTCGTGGTTAAATGAATGCAAACTAGGGTTATTTAAATTAAGTTGTCACTTGGTTATACGTTCTAAGAAACAATATCCTCAAAATGACTCCATTGACAAGGCCTACTCTCTTTGTCACCAGAGAACCTTGGGGCACTAAAGTACAAGATGCAAGGGGTTGAGGTACTCATCACCAATTGGTTCATTATTTAAATTTGTAATAGACAACACACAAAATGATATAAAACAAATAAGGCAAGTATAATCAAATAAACAATTAAAGAAAAATGATTAAAAACAAAATTCCATTTGAATTACTTTCCTAAATTGAATTTGGCAAATTCCAAATTTTACTTTCCAAAAATGATATTTATTATTTCCTAAAAAAGGTTTAAGAAACTTCCCAAAAATGAAACTTTCTGAAAGTGAATTAAGAAATTTCCTTGAAGCAAATCTTAAAAATCAGTGTTGGTAAAAGTGCAATTAAAGTGCAATAGAGAAGAGCTGAGCCTTTAGTAGTTAAAGCAAAGCTCATTTACAAAAGCACACTTTTTAAATAAGCTTACAACGGGCTTTTTTGTGTTTTCAAAAAAAAAAAAAATTATATAATTTATTAGCTGTAAACTTTAGGTCATAATAGTATTGAATGGGCCATTGATTTGTTAGACAAATATCAATGTTATGGTATGATACACTACATACATGACAACACCAAGAATACAATTATATCTAACCATGTATTTCATTTTGAAATATAATGTTTGTGAATATTTTGTAAAGCACAAGAGAAATTATATTGAAGTTATGTTTAAATATGAACTTCAAGAAAGGGATGAGGAATTACTTCTCACAAGTGGAAAGAACTTCGAAAACTCTTTGGTGTGAGTTCTTAGAACGCACTTGAAGGTAGAAGACTACTCCCACTTCCAATCTTGGATTTACACTAGTGTATCTAAGAGTATAAGAGAATTATAAATCTTCTAGGTGTCTTCCTCTAATCAAGAAATCCTTATAGGGACAGTTGGGATATAAATAGACCAGTTCCCAACGGTCAAGTGATGACTAGTTTTTCGAAACTGCAGCACAATGGGTCAGCCCACACTTGGGAACAAATTACTATTTGGAATTCCTTTTGGGTCAACTCACGATAATATCTTGGTTGGCCCACACATTTCTTCAGGCATTCTAGCTTTGGAATCTCTATTTGGGTTGACCACATGTGGGTCTAACAGACAAACTAATTGTTAAAATTTTCACTTCACCTACCACCACTACCACCTCACCTACTCCACTAAACCTAACCCACTACACCACTACCACCTCCACTTCACCTACTCCACCTCTCCACTAAACCTAACCCACTACACCACTACCACCTCCACTTCACCTACTCCACCTCTCCACCTACTCCCAAACACACTCCTATATAATAGGAATCCTTGTAATTGTAATATACACAATTCAATACAATCTATCAATAATACAATTCTCTCTATATTTTTATACATTAAATCTTGCACTAATCGTGGACCCTACCTGGTTGACTAACCTATTTGGCTGGTTGCCAGTGACAACCTTGGTTGATCAACCTCCCAAGCTGATCAACCTAGATGGCCAAATGGATAGTGGTGTCCACTTTTCAAGGTTGTCCTAGTCCCGGTCTCCCATGGCATTCTGTCCTCCAAGACTCTATGGTTTGTCCAATGTTCTTTCAGTAGAATGAAAGATAATGCAATAGTCCACCGCTTGTCAGCATTTTTCTAATAGCTCTTAGTTCAATGAGGTGTCTTTTTAAGCAAGTAGTTTTGTTGTCCAATTTCAGCTTTTGTTGCTATCTATGTTGGAATATAGATTGCTTGAAAATCTTAAACTTTAGCTCGATGGCTCTCTTCTTGTGTCAAATTTGAACAGGAGTTTCATCCAGCGATGTTGCAACATTTGGACTCGGAGCTCTTCAGGTAAGTGCAAACTATTGAAACTGTATGTTCATTCGGATGCTATGGAATCTGATCAGTAACCACAGCCTGTCACTGATGTAGGTAGTTGCCACTGGAGTGACTACATGGCTGATGGACAAAGCTGGTCGCAGGCTTCTTCTTACAGTGGGTTTGAGCAAATTTTCACTTGAGATTTAATTATCAACTTGGATTACAAGAAAAAAACTCCAAATAACCAAATTATCAAATCTGCAAATACTTGATGCAGGTATCCTCATCCATAATGACTGCTAGCCTCACCCTAGTCGCTATTGCATTTTTTTTAGAGGTCGGTAATGCTTTAGTTCCTCTTCAAGTTTTTAATTTTTTAAATAAAATTTGTTGACTATCCTTCTTAAGAGTTGTAAGATATGTTTGTCCATGTTGGGACTACTCACCAACTTATGTTTTCCTTATCTTCCTCTTTTTGTTTTTCACTAAAGCAGGAATTCGTATCACAAACTTCTCGTCTTCATAGTATCTTGGGAACACTGTCACTAGTTGGAGTTGTGGTATGCCTTGCCCGCACATGACATTCTAATATGATTCTTAGTTGCTTTAAACTTATTTACTAGATGTTTGTTTTTTAGTGGTTGCATCTTAAGCTAATAAGGACTAGCTGTTTCTGTCCAGGCTTTTGCCTTTTCCTTCTCTTTGGGAGTTGGGGCCATTCCTTGGATTATAATGTCTGAGGTATGCTATACTTAACTTCATTTTTAATCAAATAAATCTTTATCTTTACTTTTCAAAATAAATGAGTGAATGAATGAATAACAAGATTGAGTTTTTTCCTTGATCCTTGGACATGAAAAATGAGGTTTCATGTGACGAATTATCATATTAGAAAATTTTTGGGTTTTTCTTCCAGACACTTAACCAGTCATTTCACTCTGGTTAGTTGACAGTTTTTGGCACCCCAAGCTTAGGACCATAGTATTACATGTTTCACATGTCTCTACCAAACCGGCACCCAACCTGGACTTGTTTTGTATTCATAACTTTTATTTTTATTATCGGCGAAAGTCAGTGGTTAGATGTTTGATTAGCACCTAAGGGAGTTCGCTCCCTCTCCCTGTAAGGACTTATTAAGTCTTACCTCCCATTTCACTTGTAAGAGTGGAACCTAAGATCTACCCTTAGGAGAGACTTGGTGGCCAAAAGATTAACCACATAGGCTACGACCCCTTAGTTGTATTCATAACTTATTTGCCATGTCTAGTACTTTGAATGCATCAATTTCTTTTGGACTAAATTAACCTCTTTTTGACCAACTATGCAAGTACAAATCTAAAAGAGGTCTTCATAGAAATTGAACCCAGGACTTTGGTTGGCTATAGAACCCTTAAATGCCAAGTCATTTTGTCTGTGTGAAAACTGCAAAATAATTGACAGGTATGAAGAATCACTTTCTTTCAACTGCTCATGTGTTTTTGAATTGGTTGCCTCAGATTCTTCCAGTAGATATTAAAGGGCTTGCTGGAAGTATAGCAACATTGTTGAATTGGACGACATCATGGGTGGTTACAATGACGGCAAACTTACTTTTGATGTGGAGCAGTGGAGGTGCTCTCTCTGTCTCTCTCCCTGACACACACACACACGCACAGAATACACATTTGCACATGTCTATGTGGTTAACTTATACTAACTTTGTTATACCTTTTCCAACAGGGACCTTCGCCATCTACGCGGTCGTGTCAGCTTTTACTGTGGTGTTTGTGACACTTTGGGTCCCAGAAACCAAAGGAAGAACTCTGGAGGAAATTCAATGGTCCTTCAGATGATGGCATTGTTTGTTATAAAAAAATACGCCCAATTCAGTCCCCATTGGATGATGACATTGTTTGTTCAAACACATTTATTTCAATCCTGCTTCAAATAAATTATCTTGTGTATATGTTGTTTTGCTCCCTTAGTTGACACCCCCCAAGGGTTAAAATAAATAAGTAAAGTTAAAAAAAGATCCATTCAAATTTTTTTCATCTTCCGTCATACAAAACACAGCTTTTATTTAAATACGTAAACAATAAAGCTTCCATTTCTCCTACCAATCACAGAGCAATGATGCTTCTGCTAACACGAGCATAGAATGAAAGTTGTTTTGCGAATTGGTCATTTTTGGTGTTCGTCTGAATCCAGTGAAGCGAGGAATTGCTTGAGACATCTATTGTAGGCACATGGTCGTTCCAGATGAACCAGGTGGCCGGCTTTTTTTATACCTTGATATGTTGCCTTGTCTCCCAGCTGCCTGCCATCGTGTCGAGCAAAACATTGTAAGTATGACTCATGTAAGAGGGCTTTTGATTTTATTTGATTGTCACATTTTTGTGTGTTACAAATTATGTATGCAAGTAAACAGAATGTATCAGTTGATTGAGTGATTGCTTAATTGAATGTTATTGTCATGTGGCTTTGGATGTATGATCATTGTACTTACTCTTTCATGTTCTGGGCATGCTCTAGCTTGAAAATCTGATCGTTCTCGCCCCACAGGAGATGTATTCTCTATACCCAAAAAAAAATAATATAGACACAGATGGTATGATAGAAAATTTTAGGTTGTTAATGCAATATATATTTGTGATGATTTTACCTGTTGAAAAGTGGGGATGGTGGCATCTTTGTTGCTGACCACCAAACCCTCCAGCAGCTCACCTCTCTCCTTTCTGTTGGTGAACATTACCTATCGTCATCAATCAGAATTAGTTTAGATCAAACAGCATAGAGTTGGAAGACAAAAGAGCCCCAATCCAAGTTTATTTGATAATGTCTTAGAGATGACCCTCTTTGAAGGCCTTGCATGGACTACAGTGTTGATCTGATTCTAATCCTCTAGTTGATGGGAGATGATGGTAATTATTGGAGATACTCATTGTTATGATAGCGATGCTATCGGCTAGTCGTTCCTTCTTATTCTTTTTTACTCTTTTTATTGAGCCCCACCAAAAAAAAAAATATATATATATATATATATATATAAGGACCGTGACCATGATGATGGTAATAATTTTGAGATATTTTGATTATGATGCTCTTATCTGAAAATGCAAATCATTTGAAAGGGTAACTCTCTAATTAATATTATTATAGCCCCTACATCTTATTAATCTCTCTATAATAATGAAATGGCCACGTCTAAGAAGAATCAAATGGTAATAATCAAATGATTCTGAGCACGAAACCCTGGCTTTCTTTCTCCCCTTCATTAACACTATCTGTCTTGGCACAAGTTGCCAAATTTAAGACCATAAAATAAATCAAGCTACTCAAATTCAATTGGTATTTGGCTCGCTACTTGTTTAAAGTCAATTAATTATGTAAACAAACTAAGTTTGAGCACATCAAGTTCGAACAACCTGCTATTCTACTAGTTTCGACTCAATTTTATACACTATAAAAATCAAGTTATTGGAGCTTAGTTTGTGATCAACTCAATTAGAGCTCGTTTAAGATCAATTCGAAAAATAAATAAGTCGAATTTAAATACATTTTAAAATTTATTAAGTTTTCAAGTTAAATTTAGATAACTTATTACTCAACTTCAACTTTAACTCCACTCCACTCGATTCATTTATAGCCCAAGATAAATAAAAAATAATAATACATATTTTTTAGGAAAATGAAAAAGAAAATTATTTTATTTTTATAATAAAAGGACACCAAAGGGGGTAGTGGGCCTCGAAGTAGCTGTTGGCGTAGTGAATTGGGGATCCCTACTCTTCAGTTGGTTGAGCTAACTAATAATCAATTTAGGTGTGGCAACCACCAACTAGTCACTAGTCACCGATTAAAACATGAAAATTTTACATTAATTGTTTATAAAAATTTTAAATATAATTCATGACAAAAATAATGTAACTGTAGTAGTGAAATTTTGTAAAATTATAAAAAACAATGATGAGTATTTTCATTAATATATAAAAATTATATATATAAATATTTTATTTATATATCATTACTCTTAAAAACAAACATGTATTGTATTTTACAAGTGGTGGAGAATACACCTCTGGCCTTCACTTTGATTACTATTTCTGAATTTTACATTGATGTGGAGTTTTCAATTTTTAGTTGATGTCAATTAATATATGTTTTTTATACATATATGTATGTGTAATCTCAAAGGGTTTGATTTAGCGGGTGAAGAAAGTAACTAAAGAATTTATCATTTAAGAGGTTGCAAGTTTGAACTCCACAAAGGCCAAACATCCCATACTTCGGGATTACTGGAAATTTGTCCGACCCTTACTTGACTTTAAAATTTTAGGATTAATCAAAATACACATAAACTTATTTCAATATTCGAATATCCAACCATAATTTTAAGATTTTAAAATTAGTCAAACTATACATAAATTTATCCAAACACTCGAATATTAAAAGTATATATCTGTATGTGTACCAATTTCTTCATTAACACCACATTTATTAAGTTGATTCAATCCACTCATGGGCTATCTAATACCTCTGCATAGATGTACTCCATGACATCTTGTCTTCATGCTTGTATGACCCACAAGGAAGAAAACATTATATCTAAATAAATACATTTTTTTTTATTTTTGATGAAAAAATATATATAAAAATAATAATAATAATATAACCTAAATAAATATATATTTATAAATAAATACACTTATTTAATCACTTACGTATTGAGAACACTGAAATGGGTTATATATTGCCTTCTTTGACTTTTGTTGATGGTACTAATTTGGAGGAAGACATTTTGGTAATTATGAAAAGAATGTTGGTCAATTTTGAAGTATGAAGCTTTTGTTTTTGGGTAAATTACAAATTGTCTCATGCCAGAGGCGAATCCGAATCCGAAGGTGGGTGGCCCACCCCGCCTAGAACAGTCATGTTTTACTGGGCTTACACACTTATACTGGCCTTTTACATTGTGTCATTAAAATTTTTAATTTTATAATAAATAATTTCCCAAACTAAGCCTTAATCATCAAATTAATTAATAGTTTTTAATAATATTTAAATTTTATTTTAATTAATAATTTATATAATTTTATTATTGTATAAAAGAGCACTTAATGAATTTTATTTTTTCAATTAATTCTGTTAAATAAAAATTCTGATAATGGGCCATTTGCAATTTTTTAAATTATAAGAAATAATCTATATTTTAATTAAATCTCAGAGATATATTTATAATTTACCCGGTTAAAAAGGTCACATCTTCTTTAAAAAATTTATCTTCATTTTGTCTTTTTTCTAAATTATAATTTTTTACTTTTTAGGTTTGCCTTGTGTGCACCCTATCACAATTGACATTACTTTTCTATAAATTGACATAACAAAATATTCAAAATAAATCTCGTCATAAATTGGTGTAACAAAATATCAAAATGTCAAAATATTCAAAATAAATCTCGTCACAAATTAACATAAAAAAATATTTAAAATTTTGTGTGGTAAAAGTACATGTGGTAAAACTATACATTAAGAATAAATATGCAAAAAATTCTTATAAATGATGTGCCTAAATTGTGACATATATCACTTTGTAACAAAGCGCCTTGAAATTTTTATAATATGCATTATCATTATATTAATATCATATATTCAACTATTAAAACAATTTTAATATATGTTAATGTCATTATTATACAAAAATATATTTAAATTTTAATTTATTAATTATTTAGAATTATTTAAATGTCAATGTCATAATTAACGTTGGGGTCTTTTGGGGAGTGTGTTATAATCTACTTCCCAGATTATAACTCACTTCCCTCTCTTACAAAAAAATTGATTATAATCAGTTTTTAATCAAAAAATTAATTATAACTATCTTCCCAAAATATCCCAATATAATTGTGACAAACGCAACTGGCCATAGCATTATTAGTTTAAAATAAATAAAAAAGTAAAAAAAGACTCAAACATATTGAAACAGAATAAGAACGAAAAATTATAGTCTACATAATCTGATGCCAGAATTAGACACGATTTCGTAGACAAAATTTAAGAACAGAATGTTCAATTTTATAATTAGATTCTGTACACTTAGAATAACTAGGATGAAAGGGAAGATTAGCAAACCTCAAGAAAATCCTTGTGGAGTTTATCAGGAAACCAAAGCTTCTTGTAAGCAGCAACAGATAGAAGAGCTTTCAAACCCTTGACAGAGGTAGGCAAAAGGAGCTCCGACGAAGTAGAGAACCCAAGACTCTCAAGAGTCGAGTGGCTGATCGAGTCAGTCATGGCCAAGATCGAACCAGACACCACCAACCCACGAACCAATTCCGGGTACAGCTCACCCAACTTGAACGCAACCATGCCACCGTAGCTGAACCCAACCACCGTACACGTGTCCACCCCCAATTTCCTCAGACCCTTGCTGACACACTCGGCCTGGAACCTCGGAGACCGGTCGGGGTTGTCGGAGATGGAGCCGCCGAAGAAGAGGAGGTCAGGGATGTAGACGGCGTATTTTTTGGAGAGAGAACCGACCTGGAACTGCCACGTCACGATGCCTTCGCCGGCGAAGCCGTGGATGAGGACGACTACTGGTTTGTTTGGTTTGAGTTTCTTGGTGGCGTTGGTGGTGGTTTGGGGTTTTTTTAGGGTTTTGGTGGGGACCCAGAAGTTCATGAGAGTGCCTGGTTCGATCTCTACTGTGCGGGGTACTACCCCTGCCATCTTCATTAGGCCATGCAGCAATGGCTTTTGTGCTGCAACTAGGTTCACCATTTTTATTTGTGAGAGAGAGAGAGAGAGAGAGGGGTGTATGTGTGGATTGATTGAATTTGAGGGAAGTGAATGTGAATGTGAATGTGAAGACGAAGGGGTTTTAAACTAAATGGAAAGCCATGGTTGGTGTTGGGTTGTTATCTGTTGGCCATTGAATAGAGAAGAAAGATTTTTTAACCATCTTGTATAATTGGCACATTTGTCTCACCTCTATGACTAGGGTTATTAGACATACTTAAAATATTACTCATGAATTCACTCACAATTATATAACAAGAAATTATATCATAAGTGATTAATTTAGAATGGAGAGTGATTATTCAATAGTTCGAAAATACGATCACGTAATGCTTCATGATAGTATAATTGATGAAGGATGTAGGATGTTAATTATTTGTGTTGAACAATAAGACATAATAAATTATGATTGGTGAGAAAGAATGATCACATAATACTTTGAGACTATACTATAATTTTCCCAAAAGGTATTCATTTCAAATAAAGACACTGAACTACATGTAATAATCCACATCACTTGTTACTTATTTTAAGCTTTTGAGGTGAAATTTTTGGAGCCTTAACCTTTTTGTATTATTTTATTTTTTTCTCTCTTTTTCCTTTAAACTTTATTTTTACTATTTTTTTTTTTTTAAATTTATGTGATACATAATAGAACTTCAATATACCTACCAACACACCAAACGCTACAAAGCTCCATACCAATTCTTTCTTTTTTTTATTCTTGCGGAAGATAAAGGTTCAACAAAGAAGAATTTACTTATACATTCCTGGGATACATCAATCCCTGCTAGAGCTAACAGTGCTCATATCAGTGATCAAAAAAGAGAGAATGGAACTTGGAGGATCCTCTAGAAAGACAGTGTGGTCATGCTGGTTTACACCTAATAAGTTAGCCAGAGCATCAGCACTCTGATTAACTTCTTTAGGGATGGCTTTAAGTGTGCATTGGCAGCATCGTAGAAGGAAATTAGCATCCTCAATGAGTGCTCGATAGGGAGAGTTTGCTGCAGATCCATCTCGAATCAACTTCATAGCTGTCTGTGAGTCAGTCTCAATTTCAATGTTGGTCAATCCCTTCTGCATGATGATGGTCAACCCATTGTAAATTCCCCACAGCTCAGATTCCAGACTTGTGCAATTTCCTAAATAGCCGAAGTACCCCCACACCCAGGTTCCAACTTCATCTCGGAGCAGCCCTCCAAATCCGGACTAGCCTGGGTTTCCTCTGGAGATTTCATCCGTGTTTAGTTTGAGTTTACCTGCAAAAGGACAAGACCACAACATTAGATTGGGATCTCTGGAATGTGGGTTCAGGATGGCCTGGAAGGCCTCCTGAGTTGCCATAGCTTGTTCAAGAATGGAGTTAACAATTATATATGAAGGTGTGGAGAGGTTATCAAACACTTCTTTGTTCCTCCCTTTCCAAATGTGCCAGAGTGTTGTCAGAAAAACAGTAGGCCACTGAATATTGTGCACCCGATCATTGCTTCTCATATTAACTTTGATCCAAGCCTGCAGAGGAGTGTTGTTACTATGCTGCCACTAGTCAAGACTTCTAAGGTTAAGCCATATTGTCTTTGCTTTAGGGCAGTCTCGAAGTAGATGGTACATATCTCTTCTACAAGTTTGGCATCTAGGGCAAATCTCAGAATTTGAAAACTATCTGATGAACCTCATATGATTAGTCAGAAGCCTCTCATGCAAAACAAGCCAGAGAAAGGTTTTGAGTTTTTGAGGGGCCTTTATTTTCCAAAGCCACTGCCAATTCACTTCCTCTCTGTCCTCATTTAAAATAGCTGTGTAAGCTGCTGCTGTTGTAAATTGTCCACTAAGGGAGCCTTTCCAAAGAGAGTTATCACTAAAAGTCACATACCTTGGTCTATATGTACCGAAAATTTCCTCTTTCACTGATTGGGAAATAAGATCTTGAATTGAGGTTAAGTCCCATTGTCCTTCTTCATTGATTATAGAACTAACTTTGGTTGTGTTGTGAATGTGAGCCCCTAGTTGAGTGATACACAGTGGTTGGTTACCACACCACCAATCTGTCCATAAGGTTATGTTCTCCCATGTGCCAACATTCCATTTTATATTCCTACTCAGGACCTCCTCATTCCTGATAATGCTTTTCCAAGTGTGTGATGCTCTTCTTTGGGTGGGCTAGTTAGAGACTGATGGTGCTTGAGATATTTGGCTTTTAGAATTTTGCACCAAAGCTCATCAGAGTTATTAGTCAATTTTCATCCCAGCTTAGATAGAAAAGCTGAATTCTGGACTCTAACTTGTCTTATACCAAGGCCCCCATTCCTCTTAGATTTACAAACCTGCTGCCAGTTAACAAGATGAACTTTTTTCCTATCCTCTGTATTACCCCAGAGAAAATTTCTATTCAGTTTATCAAATTGGTCACATACCCTTCTTGGAATTTCCATGGTTTGCATTAGATGATTAGACATGGAAGAAGTGACAGCCTTGCTAGGGTAGCTCTGCCTACAAGAGATAAATTTTTGGCTCTCCAACCAGATAGTTTTTTGGCCATTCTGTCAAGAATATCTTGTAAATGAGTTTTGCTAACTCTGGTGTGAAGAAGAGGAGTACCCAGGTATTTCCCTAGGTCAGTAGTGATGGAGATGCCACACATATTGCTGAGAGGTAGAGCTTCTCTTCTAGGGATGTTGGCGGAAATATACATTTTGGATTTATGAAAATTAATTTTTTGACCAGACATGTCACAAAACTCAGATAGAACTTCCATAATGCAATTACAGTTACTTCTATTAGCTTTAGCAAAGAGAATCAAATCATCTGCAAAAAAATAGGTGGGAAATGGGGGGGCTATTATTAGAAGCTTTGAGGCCCTTCCATTTTCCACTCTCAGTTTTAAGACGGATCATGTTAGAAAGATTTTTCATGCAAAGGACAAACAAATAAGGAGAGAGAGGATCCCCTTGCCTGAGAGCTCTCCCCACACTGATGTTGGGTAATGTTTCCCCATTCCAAATTATAGCAGAATTAACAGAAGTCACACAGTTCATGATGAGAGTGATCCAGTCCGGAGTTAGTTTGAATTCTTTAAGGGTATGGTGTATGAAATCCCAGGAAATGCGGTCATAAGCTTTCTCAAGGTCAATTTTGAGGATCATGCCACCAAGCTTACCTTTTTTACATCTAAGTGTATGGAGGATTTCTTAGGTTATGATAATATTATCAGTGGTGGTTCTGCCAGGGATAAAACTGCTCTGGTTGGGACTGATAAGGTCAGAGAGTAGAGGTCAGAGTCTATTGACAATGATTTTGGATATGGATTTATAGATGACATTGCAAAGACTGAAGGGTCTAAATTGTTTTAAAGACTCGGGATTATCCAGCTTGGGTATAAGGGTGATAAAAGTTTCGTTGATTTCTTTGGGGACCTTTTTAGAGTTAAAGCACTCTTGGACAAAATGGCAAACAGAGGTGCTAATAGTGTTCCAGTGTTTGTGGTAGAAAATAACTTGGAGTCCATCTTTCCCTGGGGCTTTGAAGGCTTTAATGTTTTTTATGGCTGTCCATATTTCAGAGTTAGACACAAGGGCAAGGACACGATTATTGTCTTCAGAGGTGAAACAGGTTCTAGCAATGTTAATCCATTTATCCACAAGGTGAGTTTCCTCTTATTGGAAAAGCTGACTAAAATGATCCATGATGTGGTTTTTGAGTTCATTGGTGTTCGAGATCCAATTACCATTGTCGTCTTTTAGCACATGAATTTTAAGCTTTCTACGCTTGACCAAGGTAGACATGTGGAAGAATCTAGTGTTATTGTCTCCCAAAGTGAGCCATTTGTTTCTGGATTTTTGAAACTAAAGAATCTCTTCCTGAAAAAGGGTTGAATTAAATTGTTTGATGAGGTCTTTCTCCAGGATATGCAGGTTGTGAGAAAAGAACTGGGCTTGAGTTTTTTGGATGCCTTCTTTACGGGCCAACAGATTTCTTTTGCATTTAAAGATGTTACCAAAGACTTCTCTATTCCAGGTTTTAACATTCTAAGTAAAATTGTTAATAGTTTCAAGGGGTTTAAAATCTTTGTTTAACCAAGAAAGATGAACAACCTCAGGGAAATTAGGGTAGCAAAGCCAGGCCGCTTCAAATCTAAAAGGCCTATTCTGAGGGTTAAAGGGATGCATACCTTGAGTGTATACTATCAGTGGAGAATGATCCGAGTAGGTTCGCGGAAGAGTCCTCACAGTTCCTTCAAGAAAAAGGGCTCGCCATTGATCATTGCTCATAGCTTGATCCAACCTCTCCATAGAGTTAGCCAGGCCTTGATGGTTGTTTGTCCATGTGAGACGGGGACCAACACTTCCTAAATCGGTGAGATTGCAATTATTGATCCTTTCCATAAACGTCAGTGTTCTGTTCTGATTAGGGGTGTGTGAGAAGTTCCTCCTCTCACTCTGGTTAGCATAGTCATTGAAATCTCCGGCTATAAGCCAAGGCTTGTTTAAGTTCCTCGTTGTGTCTTCCAGCTCCTCCCAAAGAGCCTCCCTCAGAGAGGGGTTAGGGCTGGCATACACCGCGTTAAAAACCCATTCCTCGTAGTCCTCTTTATGAACCGTGGCTTGTATGTACTGATTAGTAACAGTAGATGCACGAACGTTAGCTTAGTCAGTGTCCCAGATTAACCAAATTCCACCTGATCGTCCCATTGGGTCAACAATGGTAGCTGCGGAGAAACCCATGCTACTGAAGAAATTTCCCATGGAACTGAACATGACTTTCGTTTCCAAGAGAACAATAATCCCAGGTTTGTGGGTTTGGAGGAGCTCACGCATGTTGCGTCGAAAGGTATTGTTACTAACCTCGCGGCAATTCCAAATCAAGATTTTGAGCGAGTCCATGGATGGAAATGATGGTAGAGGATCAGCCATAATACTTGGTAGGAGGCTACGGATCCTACGATAGTCCTAGTCTATCGACCGCATGGATGCCATTTGCAGTGAGTGGAGTGGAGGTATGGTTGTGTTGCTCCACCCTAGTTCGATTCTCAACTTTATTTGGTCTATCCACTAGATTGTGTCTACTCGGTGAATTGCT